TTTCTTTCCTGCCTTCCTCCCTTTCTTTCTTTCTTTCTTTCTTTCTTCTTTCTTTCCTCCCTCCCTCCCTCCCTTTCTTTCTTTCTTTCTTTCTTTCTTTCTTTCTTTCTTTTTCCTTCCTTTCCTTCCTTCCTTCCTTTTTTCTTTCTTTCTTTCTTTCCTTTCTTTGTTTCTTTTTTCTTTCCAGTCTTCCTCCTTCTTTCTTTCTTTCTTTCTTTCTTTCTTTCTTTCTTTCTTTCTTCCTTCTTTCCTCCCTCCCTCTTTCTTTCTTTCCTTTCTTTCTTTTTCTTTCCTTTCCTTTCCCTTCCTTTCCTTCCTTCCTTCCTTCCTTTCTTTCCTTTCTTTCTTTCTTTCTTTCTTTCTTCTTTCCTCCCTCCCTCCCTCTTTCTTTCTTTCTTTGTTTCTTTTTCTTTCCCTTCCTTCCTTCCTTCCTTCCTTCTTTCCTTTCTTTCTCCCTCCCTCCCTCCGTCTTTCTTTCTTTCTTTCTTTCTTTCTTTCTTTCTTTTTCCTTCCTTTCCTTCCTTCCTTCCTTTTTTCTTTCTTTCTTTCTTTCCTTTCTTTGTTTCTTTTTTCTTTCCAGTCTTCCTCCCTCTTTCTTTCTTTCTTTCTTTCTTTCTTTCTTTCTTTCTTCCTTCTTTCCTCCCTCCCTCTTTCTTTCTTTCCTTTCTTTCTTTTTCTTTCCTTTCCTTTCCTTTCCCTTCCTTTCCTTCCTTCCTTTCTTTCCTTTCTTTCTTTCTTTCTTTCTTCTTTCCTCCCTCCCTCCCTCTTTCTTTCTTTGTTTCTTTTTCTTTCCCTTCCTTCCTTCCTTCCTTCCTTCCTTCTTTCCTTTCTTTCTCCCTCCCTCCCTCCGTCTTTCTTTCTTTCTTTCTTTCTTTCTTTCTTTCTTTCTTTCTTTCTTTCTTTCTTTCTTTCTTTCTTTCTTTCCTCTGTAAATGTCCTCTGGACAAAGCTTAGCAGGTTGCTGGTTTCTGCCGACGGAATGACGGAGTTGGAAGGGACCTTGGAGGTCTTCTAGTCCAACCTTTTGGAAATATCAGCAACCAGGAGGGTGGAACAGCTCCTTTCCCGTTTATTTTTACAGCTTTGTTGTGATTGTTTGAAGAACATGAGCTTGAAACTCAGATGCTGGTTCGGTCTCACCAGGAGAAGCTTGCAAAAAACCCCAGCTGGCTATCAGGGATGATGAAGCTGACTTCTGGAAGGTGGTAGCTACTACTCGGGAGTAGCAGATCTTGCCCGGGGGAGCTGGTTTAGCAGTTTCAAACAGAAGCTTTTGCTCTAAATTCATCCTTTTTTGAAGAGCCATTTTCGGGGAAAGACTTGAGGGCCTCCAATCTGGCCTTCGAAGAACCTAGAAGATCTCTTTCCCAACTCAACTCCGAAAGTCAAGCTCTGCCCAGATGCCTCAGGATCTGGAGACAAACATCTGGCCCGTGGGACGTCTACTTATTACACCCAAAGCCTTGCCAAAAGGAGAGTTGGCTGCCCTCTTCAAGCGCCCCTCGTGTGACTCACAACTTCCAAGAAACAACTGGTGCCAATGACGCCAACCGTCTCTTTTCCAAAGCCAGAGTTGGCGCAGTCTAACCCGTCTGCGACGAGAATAAATGAGGCAAATTGGATTCTCATTACCCGCAGCTGATAGGAGCAACCGTAGCCTCGTTGCATCATGTCTTTCGGGAGTTAACACAAAAAAAAGTGCCAAAAAAGACGCAGCGGTGTCCACATTGGGACCCTTTGAATCTGGATCGTTGCCCAAGCCAAGGTTAGAGAATTGAAAGGGAGATGCCCCATGCCGAGGGCATCCACAAAGGTCCTGAAAAAGCCAAGATGGGGACTCTAATTGCCCCGTCGAAGCCTTAGTCCCCAGGCAACACACACAAAAGGGATGTGGCTTTGCTGGTGCAGCCGCCATCTTGACTTTTTTGACCTCATCCGAGGCCCACATTCGAGAGCCAGCACTAAATTGGCATAGAAATCTCATTTTCACTGGTTGTCCGATCAACAATCTCCCCTTTCAGAGAGAGAGAGAGAAAAAAGCAGTCTTTTCTTGTTCCGTTAAATAGGTGAGACCGGTTAGCGTCCCAAACGATAAAGGGCCAGACCTCAAGTTGGTTGGCGGTCATTCTCCCCTTCTCAAAGGACCGCGGGATACAGGGTTGGTTTGGACCAGAAGCTCAGCATCCTGGCCAAACGAAAATTCTCAGGAGTCTTTGCGAGGAAGCGATGATTGGCATAAAACTTAAGGTCCGTTGGGAGGGGAGATGGCCCACCGCGTTTAGGGTTTAAGAGGAACCTCAGACACGAAAGAGAGGCATTTTTCCTTGACACACACACACACACACACAGCTGCGAATCAAGAGTCGGAACTGGGAGTCCAGATGGAGGTCATTTCTTCTGGACCCCAGGACAGGGAGGGCTGCCCAATTGGACAGCAGTTCAAAGTGTTAGAGCAGTGGTTCTCAACCTTTTTAATGCCATGACCCCCAACTGGTCGTAAGTCGAGGACTACTCAATACCGGTCGTAAGTCGAGGACTACTCAATGGGTGCAGCACCGTTTGCAGAATGGAACTTTTGGCGGGCTCAGCAGGGCAGAGACAGCCTGGACAATTCCTATTGGCTTTTGAAAGCCAATAGAATTAAACTCTATTCAAGAGAGTCTATTCTATTGGCTTTCAAAAGCCAATCGAATAAGAGGGAGTAGCACAGCTAAGGAAAAGGGGGGGGGGGAAATGACGGACTGCGTTGTTTGGCGACCCCCGTGAAATGGTCGTTCGATCCCAAATGGGGTCCCGACCCCCAGGTTGAGAACCACTGTGTTGCTGGGAGCAGACCAGGCTGGCACGCATGAGCCACCCTCAGAAAATTGAAGAGGAAAAGGCATCTCCAAATATCTTTCTTGAAGACGGAGTGGGGCCAATCTGTCCCACGGCTGCCAAATCTGAGCTGCAAGTCTTGAAGTGCCCACAAGAGGGCAGCAAAGGATGCAATTCTTCTGCACCATTTTGCTGCCCTCTAGTGGTAACTCGGGTCAGTATGCGTTGAGGCTATCTGCGTCTCGCAGCCTGGATCGGCACAGCTGAGGTTCCTCTACAGTCAGGATCTTCAGACTTGGCCCTTTTAGGACTTGTGGACTTCAACTCCCAGAATTCCTCAGCCAGGCATGCTGGCTGAGGAATTCTGGGAGTTGAAGTCCACTCCTCTTAAAGTCTATATCAGGGGTCTTCAAACTTAGCCCTTTTATAACTTGTGGACTTAAACTCCCAGAATTCCTCAGCCAGGCACGCTGGCTGAGGAATTCTGGGAGCTGAAGTCCAGTCCTCTTAAAGTCTATAGCAGGGGTCTTCAAACTTGGCCCTTTTAGGACTTGTGGACTTCAATTCCCAGAATTCCTCAGCCAGTGTGCCTATCTGAGGAATTCTGGGAGTTGAAGTCCACAAGTCCTAAAAGGGCCAAGTTTGAAGACCCCTCATCTACATTAAGGGTGTGTGGGCCCTGCAGCTGGCCACAACTGGACTGGGTTTTTTGGGGTGTTTTTTTTTTTAAAGAGAGTACAGTCTCCTAGGAGAGGCAGAGTCTTGACTACACCCCTGGAAATGAGATTGAAAGAACTTAGTTTGTAGAAACAGCCAGGGGGGAAAACTGGCCACTTCAGACTGCAGGAGGAAGGCCTTTTGATTATTTTTTGTTTATACTATATCTGCAAGGAAAAAAAAAACTATCCAGCTTTGCACTTGGATCAGTCTCCATCGAGATTTCCCCAAGAAAAATTAAGTGTAGGAGCCAAGAATAGATTAGCTGACTATTTCCCAAGCTTGGCCATTTTAAGATCTGTGGACTTCAACCCCCAGAATTCCCCAGTCAGCCAGGAATCCTGGGAATTGAAGTCCACGCCTCTTCAAAGTGGCCCGCTTTCTGCGCTATTCCCAAGGGCATCATTTATTCAGCCCTTTGGAAAGATAGTTGGGAAGAAGAACGGCAAGCTTTGGATGTTTGTTTTAATTTTAGGCCTAGGGGAATGGGGAAGGCCTAGCCCCAAAACGTGTGACAAATCCTGTAATCAAAATGTGTTGATTTGTCGCTTTGCAGATTTATAGAATAATCATCAGCATTAACTCTGGAAGGGTATTTTTTTTTCCAACTTCAGTCACTTTAAGATGGGTGGACTTCAATTCCCAGAATTCCCCAGCCAGCTTGGGAATTAAAGTGACCGAAGTTGAAAGAAATACTGTTCTGCAACCTTCACGAGTTGCTGTCACCATCCTAACAACCAGCTTTTAAAAGAGGCCAGGGTTTTTAATGTCTGGAATGTCAGGTTTGAGTTAAGTCGAACATCCGTAGCTTCTTTGCTAAAACTAAGCCAGGATGTAAACATCCATACTCAAGGCACAATTTTGGAGTCCCTGGATTGTACTAGCAGAGATTTGGGTACATTTATCTGGCTGAAATGTGCTGTCGAGTCCATACAGGTAGTCCTCAATTTACAACCGCCCATTTAGCGACCGTTCAGAGTTACAACGGCACTGAAAAAAGTGACTTTCAGTTTTTTCAATCTTAACCTTCACTGGCGACGTGATCAAAATTCGGACGCTGGGCAACCGACTCATATTTACGACGGTCGCAGCATCCCGGAGTCATGTGACCCCCTTTTTTCGACAAGCAAAGTCCATAGGGGACGCTGGATTCTCTTAACGACTGTGTTACTAACTTTACAACTGCAGCGGTTAACTTGACAATCACTGTGGCAAGAAAGGTCGTAAAGAGGGGCAAGATTCTCTTAACAACGATCTTGCCTGCGGTCGTAAATCGAGGACTACCTGTGCTTGACAGCAAGCCCGCTTTGGTGCCAAAATTACAGCAATATGAATATTGTTTTTCAGCGCGTGATTCAGCCTTCCTCAACTGGCTGCCTCCCAAACCGGTCGGGCTTCCTCTCCCACAATCCCCTGGCTGGCTGTGCTGCCTGGTGGATTCTGGGAGTCGAAGTCCGGAAGGGTGT